GAGAAATGGGCAAAATTTAGAAAACACAACCTAACGCGGGTGTTTTATTAGTTTCTCAAATGGTCTTTAATGTAAAGATTGTTTTAGTAAAACACCGTTGAGGAAATGCACAAAATGACGAAACACGGTTTCCGGTGTTTCGATCTCTGCATGATATAACATCAGTTTCACAGGCAATCAGAACGCGCGCTTTATCAAATATGTGTAAATGTAAATAATCTGCATATCTTCTGAACAGAATTTTTCTTTGTTCTTTTCTAGATAGTAGAGCATGGGCCAGTGCAGTTTTTATTTGACGAAGGCATCGAAGTAAATTATTGGTTCCCAGTCCTTGCGCGTCAGAAGATGAAAAATCAAAAATCAGTAAACGTGAAAATCATTTAATTTTGCCACGTTTTTTTCAGCTTGTTTTTGCTTGTCATGGTAACGATTCTAAAGCCCAAACAATATTTATTTGACAAAGCTATTCTTTCAATTTTCTATTTGTTATTCTGCATGCAGCGGTTTTTCTTTAAAAGCAGATTTATAAGTCAATAGAGTTCTTTGTCGTACATATAAAGCTGTATGTCATTTGTAATAAGTTTGTGACAGGCGGAGTCATCTACTATATATCTTAATAGCTACAATTTCACATTATTTTTCTTCACTCTTAGGTTAATGTCAAAAGTACGTTTAGAAGAATTATTTTATGATATTATAATATTTATTCTATTTGTTCAATGTTCGAAATTATCTTCATGGCGATGGCTAAGGTAAAAGATGACCAAAACGGAAACAACGATCAATGATTGAGATTGGGAAATATTAAAAACGACAAACCACCTTTAGAAATAGTACAGAAAATGTAAAAAATCACAGCTACTTATGAGAAAGTTTGAAATAATTCCTTGAAATTAAAATAATACAGTAAAATGGCATGTTAATTTCTCCTCTTGTTGTGCTCCTCCTGATAAATATTTCATTGCGTGGCTTAAATCAATTGAGGCAGTGATTTTTTTTTTCAAAATTCTACTTTGTCTTTGTACAGTCCACTTCTATGTCTTACCCTGTGAAAACCTAGAATCCACACACTGAATTTTCAGGCTGCATACATCATGTGCTATTGATCGTTGGTTTGAGTGCGATCCGAACTTGCTTTATGGAGTGAAAATGTAGCAGAATAAGACAACAGGCGCACCTGGAAGCGAGGTCTCAAAATACAAAATAGGCAATAAGGGTATAGATGTTTTCTATATATTTAAGAAACACATGGCCTGTTAATTGCAGCGGAGTGATTAGTGAATTTTATAGCATTTACTCAAAGGGACCGGTTTTCTGTGTCGATCGGCAACCCTTTTTGTGAAAAATTCGAGAGGCACTTAACTCAAGTCTCGCACAATGAGGAAAAATTAGTAATGTGGCTTCATTCTTGTGAATCTGCGAACTAACAGGTTATGTTCTCGAAGTTTAGTAAAATAAGTCTTACAAGAATTTAATTTGCGACGCTTTTCCATCAACGCCATAAAATATACCTAATTTAGCATTTCTTAAAAAACACTACTGAGCCTTGTCGTGTAATTTTAAAAGTTTTCCTGAATTTGTAGTCAAAACATTTTAGGCAGTGTTCAACAGTCACGCAGTATTTTTCGTGCGGTAGCATTGACTACGTGTTACGATCGAGGTCATGGAAGAGTAAAAACGAAAAAAGAAACATTGGAATACCATGTCCTTTTAAGCAAATAGAGACAAAGCATATCTTACGAAGAAACTGATTCCTCACTTTTTCCAT